ACTAAACATGGTAACAATATTTATTATTCTACATTTATACATTTTAGGCAACTAAGGCAAAAATGTAATTAATTCAGAAAAAAATTTTCAGGACCCCACCTTGATGTTTCAGGACCCCACTTTGGGTCCCGACCCCAACTTTGGGAAACACTGCATTAGACCATGTTAGTCTTAAGTCTGTGTTTTAGTCTCAACTACACCCCATCGTCAGCAAAGCAACTTTTAGTAGAACATACAACATATTAAGGTCAACACGCGGCTCTAGTCAGGATCCCTTTAAGAACTACGAGGCTTAAGCTGAGGTCTTGTGGGTCATATTGATCAAACGGCAGCAGAATTAAGCAATGAACAAAAATGAGTTTGAGAGTTTTTACTTAAATATAAATTTGAAACAATCCACTTACAAGTAAAGGGTTTAAATGATCCTGCAGGACCAAAAAAAGGGAAATAAATTACAAGTGATCGACCCCTCTATGATTAGCTCTTCTGGTCCGCCTTGATAAGATCCAATCAAACCCTGGAACAAACCTTATCAGAAGCTAATTGGACCCTTATGAATAACAATCTGTAAGTGCAGCCATCTGTGACTGACCCTTTCACTTTGCCTCTCGCTCGTTTGGAAACCGACCAACTGAAGATGATTCATGCGCTGGAAGGTGACGCGTAAACCTCATTTCAGTGATTTTAGGTTGATGAGAAACATGTGGCGTCGCACCGCAGAGGGCCAAACGGGGAACCGAGACTGCTGTTCGGGATTCTGATGGGAATTTATCCAACATTAGTTATGGGGGGGAAGGGGGGCTTCTTTCCAAACAAAAGCAATACAGGATGTGATGAGTCCAAACTTTATTTGAGTGAAATAAAAACATCCCCTTCAACGCTGCAAATTCTTCCACAACAATAGACGAAACGGCTGCCAAGATGCATTTTTACCCCAAACTGGTGGAAGGAAGAGCTCTGGGTCATGAAGTCATCCTTAAAAAACATTTAAAAAATGTCACTTTGAAGCTGCTCAACATCCCAAACACGCTGCTCTAACCTGGCCGAGGACAACACCGAAGACTCGCAACAAAACTGCGTCCAACCAACAATAACTGACAAAACTTCCAGATCACAAACAGCAGATAAGACCAGCTCTTTTTGTTCTCGTGTTTACAAAACGTCACACATCCTGCGCCGCCGAGGGAAATGTGCCCAACTTTTCCTCAAGCGTCCGATCGACGGAGAAAATGGGAAGCTGAGAATGTGAAAGGGTCACGACCTTGGGGATGAAAATAATCCCCCCCACCTCACCCCACCCCACCCCACCCCTCAGTCGCTACTGGGTATCTGGTGTGTAAACACTCGGCTGGAAAAACATTAGTCCACGTTTGTGGGTTTACACTGTGGGACCACATTGAGCTTTGAGGTCTCCTGGGCCAAGAGCGAGACAAAATATGACCTTTTCTCGTATTTCAACACCAAACTGCTCCATTTTCACGACTGTCCATTCGAATTCCTCCATGATGGCGGAGCTCACGCTTTCCCAGATTACAGAATCCTGGATTAAATGATACCTCAGTTTGTCTGAATAAGTTGAATTTGTGGTTTAGCTGAACAACGGTCACAAGTTTTCTACTAATCTTAATCATCTGTAGATCAGGGATATTTTAAAGTCTCTGACGTGCATATACTTCAATAAAAAAAACATCTTTACATTAAAGAAACTTGCATAATAGACAAGATTTTACCTATTTTGTCTCATAAATGGCAGTTCCTTTTTCAATCTGACTCAGCCTAAGTGAAACAGGAAGTGACATCAAATGGGGAACTCTTTAAGAACATGATTGTTCTGRTTTTTGTTTATTAAAACTTGATTATTTGAACTCCTGACTCTTCATCTCTCTGATAGTGACTCAAAAAAAACATCAGATTCTTCTCTACAGTCTGCGTTAGCCATTTCAGCAATTCTCTGTTTACATGCAGACATTCCCCTTTGATGTCACTTCCTGTTACTTCACATGTGAATATCTCAACAACCGTTCATCTCAGGGGCGTAAAATTTTGTTTGCAATATCTCATTAATATTAGCTTTACAAAATTGCATTTGTGTTTATTACAAAAAATATATGTCACAGACACTTTAAAGTTAAGATCATAAGAAGACAGCTTCGCTCCTGGTTTAAATTTAATCCAAATGGGACAGAATCATGTTTGGTTTTCATTTGACTCAAGCTGTCCAAACCCTACGTTACACTTATTGGGTCTGAAGACCCCTTACAGGGGTGAAAATATTCCAGGGACCCCCTCATAAACCTCATGCCGGTTTAAAAATGATTTACTGCCATATTAACCCCTAAATGACATGAGAATACTTATTGTTTATTTGGTTGAGTAGGTTTATTTTACTGGTGCATTATTCCCCTTATGCATTCATGAAGTTTTTTTAAACAAAAACTAAAATGAACAGCTAATTATAATTTTTTGAGGACCCCCAAGTTACCGCTCGTGGACCTCAGAGAACTTCTGCTTTAGAGAATTTACCCTGAAAATATATCCATAAAACAAACCGCTAAGACGATTGGTTTCACCAAGAGGTCACCCAGTTTTAATGTTTGCTCCCGGCGGTATGAAGGCACCCCAAGACCACCCCAATGCCCAAACAGCCTTGGGCTCAACTAGGCTCAATGTAATACTGGCGCTGATGATGCATACCTGCACGAAAAGACCCTAAGAATGGCTCTCTGTTTCTTCTCTACCTGAGGAAACCGTCTCGATACTGAAACAGCTGCAAATGATTTATCCCCGCAGTGAGGGGGAATATATTAAAACAATCTGCCCCTCCTGACCACTGATAAGAACATTTCAGCACATTTTCCATCACCGGGCTGATCCAATATTAAAGAAGCCACTTTCAAGATGAACAGTTGTAGTTAGTATATTTTTGGAAGCAGGAACAATAAAATGTTCTTGTGGTTTAATATAACACAGTGCCATGAGCGAAAGAAAAATAATATTAATAAAATGTCAGAGATGACTTATTTTTTTCCAATCTCAAACTTTCATCTTGTTTCATTTTTACCCCCAAAAAATATCTAACAAATGCTGAGCAATTTCCTGCCCCAAAAAAAAAAAAAAAGAGGTAAAACCAACCAACAATGCAGAACATGAGACCTGCAGAAAAATAAAAAGAAATTCAGCAGTGTACTGACCTCGGCACGCTGCGTTCTGGGCTGGCTGGCATCCACTTCGATGGCGTACACATCCACCAGGTAGAGGTCGGACCCTTGCTCTCTGTCCAGCTCCGCAGCCGTCTGTATCACTCCCGTGTGGCGACCGATGGTGAAAAGGCGTCCRACAGCTTTTCCTTCGCTGCGTACCGCCACAATGAAATACTCCACTTTGGTCGTAGAGCCTCTGGGGCTCGAGGCATCCAGGGAGATGACGTTGGTGCCCGGCGGCTGGCCCTCTTTCAGAATGGTGATGTATTTGGGCTGAGAGAAAACGGGTCCGTCCATCCCTTCCAGAATGATGGTGAGTTCGGTCCTGGAGGTCTTGCGGTCGATGCCGTGGTCGGTGGCCGACACAGTGAGGGTGTAGACCAGCCGGGAAGGGACGAGCTGGGAGGCCAGGCGGATGTCACCGCTGTACCTGTCCATTATGAAGGTGTCCGAGTCCCCTGCCAAAAGGTCATACTCCACTTCGCCGTTCTCCCCGTCGTCGGGATCGAAGGCCATCACTGTTGTGAGGATGGAGCCAATGACTATGTTGGGCTCAGCGACAAGGGCGTTCTGGGACACAAAAGTGGGGACGTTATCGTTCAGGTCCGTGACCCATATCGTGACATTTTTCAATGCAAACCTGCGAAACTCAACGGGAACGGCCTGATCGGTGGCTTTGATCGTCAACTCGAACAGGTTGGAGAACTCTCTGTCTATTTCCTTGTTGGTGATCACGAGCCCCGTGCTCGGGTCGATGCTGAAGTGGTTCCCTCGAGGGATTTGCTGAATGATGGAGTACTCCAGCTGTCCGTTTATGTCCGCGTCCGTGTCATGTGCCGTGATGGTCATGACTGAGGCGGCGATGGGAAGRTTTTCAGGGATGGATTTGAAAATGTCTCCGGGAGCAAATACAGGAGGGTTGTCATTGAAATCTCGGACGTGAATGACCACTGGAATGGACAAGGATCGAGGAGGCCTGCCGTTGTCTTTTGCCGTGATGTTAAGTTTGTACAACGACTGGGTTTCAAAGTCCAGCTTTTTAACCAGAAAAATGCTGCCGGTGTTGGGGCTGATGCTGAACGTCCCATGATTGTTTGTGGCGGTGATGCTGTACGTTATGTCTGCGTTCTGACCTGAATCAGCATCCGTGGCAGTCACGGAGGCCACCAGTTCCCCGATCCTCATGTTCTCGAGGACGTCCACGGACAGCGAGGCTTTAGGGAAGGAGGGGGAGTTGTCATTTTCATCCAGGACGCTTATACTCAGCATGCAGGAGGAGGACAGAGGCACCACTCCAGCATCAAAAGCAACAATTTTTAAGGAATAAGACGACGTGGTTTCATAATCCAGCTTTCCAACTAGAGTCACCTGTCCAGAGCTGCCATCGATCACAAACTGGGCCTCCTCATTGCCTTCGGTGATATGATAACGAACCAGTCCGTTTTTGTTCTCATCCACATCCGAGGCAGAGACTCGCAGCAGCTGAGTCATGTTTTGGGCCAACTCCGAGATGGAGGCCTGGTAAATGTCTTTAGTGAACTTGGGCGGGTTGTCGTTGATGTCTTGGATGTAAACTTGCACTTTGGCCTGGTCTCTAAGGGGCTTGGGGAGACCCTGGTCTGATGAGACAACCACAAAGCTGAACACAGCGGCGCCTCTCTGTCTCATGAGAGACTCACGGTCCAGCTGCAGAGTGCTGGTCAACTCCCCCGTGATGGCGTTCAGCTCAAAGTTGGGCTGCGGAGTCTCAAACGTGTATCTGACCTCGCTGTTCGGGCCAAAGTCTTTATCCTCAGCGAAAACTTGTCCAACGAGCGACCCCCTTTTCTGCTCCTCCTCAAAATGAAACACATAATTGGTGCTGTTAAAGAGAGGACGATTGTCATTCACGTCATCTAGGATCACGCTGACGTTGACCGAGGCGCTCAGGGGCTCCACAGCCCTGTCTTTGGCCACCACTACCAAGTCGTAACTGTCCTGTATTTCTCTGTCCAGCTCTGCTTTGATGTATAACTGCCCATCGGGAAAAATGCCAAACATGTCCCGCATGTTGCCACCAGTGATGTCATACATGATCTCCCCATTAAGTCCAGCGTCTTTGTCTGTAGCCTCTACTTTAAAGAACCTGCTGTTGACAGACTCAGACTCCAGGATGATGACCTCATAAGAAAGCTGGCTGAAGACGGGCGAGTTGTCGTTGACATCGTAAACGCTGACTATGAGAACCAGGCTGGAGGTGAGCTGGGGGACGCCCATGTCCGACGCCACCACTTCGATCTCATAGGAGCTAGTTGTGACCTCCAGCGGTCCGGTCAGCGTGATCAGGCCATGCTTCTCATGGATGTGGAACAGGCCTTTGGGGTTTTCTCTCAGGCTGTAGACCACCACACCATTGGGACCTTCGTCGGGATCCGACGCTTTGGCCTGGAATATCACGTGACCCGTGATCCAGTTTTCTACGGCGCTCACGTGCTCCACGGAGTGCATAAAACGAGGAGCGTTATCATTTAGGTCCTTCACCGTTATGTTAACGAACGCCTCACCTGTGATCTCCCCCGCTCTGGCTACAACCGTCAGCTGATAAAACCCTCTCTCCTCACGGTCCACCTGACTGGACGCTACAATCTGACCTGCGCCGTTTACAGCAAAAAGCCCCCTCTGATCCCCCGAGGTGATCAGATATGAAATGTTTGTGTTCAGATCAACGGTGGTGGCCGACACTACCCCTACGATCGTCCCCACTGCCACGTTTTCAAACATAACAAAGCTGTAAACGCGTTGAGCAAAGACCGGCGGGTTATCCTGCGTGTCTATAACGGTTATGGTCACAATGGCCTGGGTGTTGGAGCGCAGGCCTCCCCCATCTGCCGCCGTCACCTGCAGCTGGTAGGCAGTTTTCTCCTCTCTATCTAAGGGCACTAGAGTAGTGATTTTCCCCGTGTTGCTGTTAACGYGGAATTTAGAAGCATCCCCGGCTGTAATTATATATTTGACAGTGCCGTTACGGCCTAAATCAGGGTCCGTGGCTGAAACGGTTGCGACATAAGAACCCGGGGGTTCATTTTCTTTCACGTTGGCAAAATACTGCACCGGATAGAAAACGGGCCTGTTGTCGTTGACGTCCCAAAGAGTGATGTTGACTTTCCCCACGGAGTGCAGAGGAGGACTGCCCCCATCTGCAGCGTGGATGTGGAGCAAATACGAGCCACGCTCTTCCCGGTCCAGCTCGGCGGCTGTGCTCAGTCGGCCCGAAGCGGCGTCCAGGCGGAACAGCTCCCGGACGGCAGGTGGCGTTTCAGCATCAAACGAGAACCGTATCGTGCCGTTGGGCCCGAGGTCGTCGTCTGAGGCGGAAAGCAGCACCAGCTCGGTGCCAACAGGAGCATGCTCCACCAGAGACACGTGATAGGTGCTCTGGGTGAACGTGGGCACCTGGTCGTTCACGTCTGTGATGTTGATTATCAGTTTGGTGTAGGAGATCTTGGGCTGCAGCCCCTGGTCTTTGGCACTGATGTTGAGCACAATTTCAGACGCTATTTCCCGATCCAGCAATGCAGCGCTGGTAACCAGACCGCTGTTCTCAATGATGGAGAACCAGCCCAAAGTGTTTCCAGACACCAGCGAGTAGCGCAGATTGGCGTTCTGCCCAGAATCACCATCTGTTGCAGAAACCCCTTTAATATAGCTGCCTGTTGGTATGTCTTCGCTGATGTCTACTCTGTACAGCGTTTCCTGAAATATTGGGGGGTGGTCGTTGATGTCGTTCACGAAAATAACTAAACTGGCGAAGGATGACCTGGCCACGGGTTTGCCGTTGTCGGACACCGACACGGTCAGGTTGTAGGAGGAGATCCTCTCCCGGTCTAAGATGCTGGCCACTTTGATCAGGCTCAGGTTGGGCACGGGAGACGTGTGCACCTCGAAGTGCCTCTGCTCGTTGCCCCCTAAGATTGAAACCGAAATGTTGCCGTTGGCCGTTGGGGAGTCTGCGTCCGAGACGGTGAGCAAAGCCACGACGGACCCGACCGACGCGTTTTCATCGACGGAGGCAAATTTAGAGGTCGTGGGGAAGTACCTGAACTTCACAACAGGGTCGTTGTCGTTCACGTCTAAAAGTTTTATGGTGGCTTCAGTTCTGCCTGACAGGGCGGGAACCCCGTTGTCTACGGCGTGAATGGTCAGGGAGTACTCTTTTTTGCTTTCATAATCCAAACCCTCTTTTATTATAATGGTGCCGGCTTTGGGGTCGATTTGGAACGGCGTCCCCTCATCTAAAAAGTACCTGATTTCAGAGTTGGCCCCCTCGTCCTGGTCTGACGCTGTGACCTGCAGGATGCTGGAACCCACTGCTGCATCCTCAAACACACTGGCCTGGTACTGGTCCAGCTCAAACATGGGGGGGTTGTCATTAATGTCCTGGATGGTGACGTTTACTTGCAGGTAGCCAAACTTTTTGGGCTCTCCTTTGTCCTCCACTTCGATCAGCAGCTGATAAAACGGGGTCACCTCTCTGTCCAGGCCCCCCGTGGAGACCAGGTGCAGGAAAGCCCCCTCCCCGCTGGGGTTGACCGTGATGTCCAGGCGGAACCGCCTCTGCTCATTGCCCCTCACGATCCTGTAGGTGGTGTGGTCTACTCCGTTGGTCCCGATGTCCGAGTCCGTGGCCGTGTCCAGGATCACCTGCCTCCCGCTGCTGGCGTCCTCCTTAAAGGACACCACGATGGAGGCGTCCGGAAAGACCGGAGAGTTGTCGTTCATGTCCAGAACCACGATCCGGACTTCGGTGGGGTAGGTGGGCTGGCTGGACAGCACCACCACGTTAATGACATCACTCAGCAGCACCTCCCTGTCGATCACCGCCGAGGTGGAGATCACCCCCGTGGAGCCGTTGATGGAGAAAAGTTTGTGGTTCTCGCTGAAGCGGTACGTGAAGCTGGTCCTGGTCTCGATCCTGCCCACGTAGGTCCCGACGGGCTGCTCCTCCAGGACCTGGAACTCTTGCCGGATCTGGCCGGACGCTGCGCACCGAGACAGGGTCCAGATCAGGAGCAGGAAGATGCGATGGAGCCGACCTGCGTGCGCCATGGTGGTCAGTCAGACACGGTCCGTGCCTCCGGCGCATCCAGTCCACTAAAGCATCCCGAATAATCCACAGAGTCCTGCAGAATCCACAGAGTCCTGCAGAATCCACARAGTCCTGCAGAATCCACAAAGTCCTGCAGAATCCACAAAGTCCTGCAGCAAACAGGCGCAAATAAAAGAGACCAACTTTTATCCAGCTGCGCAACAAAATCCTCGAGGAAAAAAGAGAAAAGTTTCCCTGCAGGACATCCAGAGCTGCACTTTCAGGACGGAAGAAGCTCTAAAAGTTTTTACTCCACAGCGATGAAGAAAGTGAAGCTCCGTCCAGGTGAAGTTCATTCAGCGCTGCAGAGCTGAGCGCGCGCACCGTCCTGTGGAGTCACGGCGCAGACGCGTCTCTCTGGAAGTTCGGAACAAAGCTGGAGTTCTGGACCAACTCCCTCCCATCACTGAGGCTGAGTGAGCCCATTGGACGGCTGTTCCCCTGCCCGTCCTCCCTCCCCCCGCGGGGGTAACGGAACAGCCTGGGTCCTGCAGCGTCAGACGAACAACCAGGTAAAACACACCTGATGATGGTTCAAAAGCTAAATAATTACTAAAGATTTAAAACAATAAGKTGAGTTAAATGAAGCCGATGTTGAGTTATTTATTTATTTATTTAAGAAGCAACTAAAGTGAATAAAAGAAACATTCTAGTATTGTTTTAAAAACAATCTTTGATCATTAATATTTTTGTTAAAAAGATCTGCTAATTTATAATATAAATATGTTAAAATAAAATAATTAAACTAAAAAAAATAAATGCACTTAATAGAGTTTAGGTCTGGAAGTGGATTATTGTGTTAAAAATGAAAAAAGTTTTTAAATGTGAGCCGACAGCGACCTCTGCTGGATAAACTTTGTGCTTCAGTTTTAAAGCGATTTCAGTGAGAAAACTTTTGAATTTATTTTTATTAAAAA